TTGCCAGCAGAACACTGAAAACGTCCAGCTGGAGACATTTACGACCGCCGTGCGATTAGGTCGAGGAGTGTGCTGAGCTCGCACGAAATCACCGGGAACTTTAGAGGTCAGCTCGACTTGGATGTAATGTACGCTGGACGTGGAGAGTGATGTAATGCTTGATCATACAGTGCAGTCAGGCACTCGGGCAGGCTCAGCCCCGTATCACTTGTCATCTCACGGTGTCAGCTCATATCACTTGTGTCATCCCAAGGCGACCGCCCGCATCACTTGTGTCATCCCACGGCGGCCCCTTTGCAAGGCAGCAGCGCGTGCAGGCATTCAGTCGTACGTTGCACTAAATCACAGCCTACAAACGAGGCGACATATAAACTTATCGTGCATGCACGTCGACTCGATGCCGCGCCAGGCAAGTCGCGCTATCCGCAATAGAACAAATCAGACCAAACCAAACCACTGTTATAGGTGTCCGTCGCGTTCGCCAAGCTTGTGAGGCTCCCCACCGTCCAATCTCATCCCCTCCACGCGTCGCAGGAAACCTCGCTGCAAGGTCGTGCTCGCCAAGGCTCGTGCCGCCTGGCCTGCACCTGCCCGTGTCACGACCCGGCCGTGCGGGGCGGGACGTGCCGATCAGCGCCTCACGGCCGGCCCGCCGGCGCCGACGCCGTGACCCGGCGGCGGCGGCCGGCGAGCGCGGCCGCCGCGCTGCCGCGTGAGCCCGACCCATCCCGCGCTGATGATGATTAGCGTGATTGGTCGGGAGGCGTGCCGCAGAGGCCCGAGCGATGGCCAAGGGCGCCGGGTGGACCCGACCGGAGGCGGCCGGCTTTGACCCCACCCGGCCGCTTTCTCTCGGCGGCCGGCCGAAAAACCGGCAGCGCCTGACAGCCGGACGGGGGTGCGCCAGGGCTCCCGTGGGAAAAACTCTGATGAGAGAACAGCTCGGGTGTGGACAGGGTCAGGTGAGGACAGAGCCCAGGTGAGAACACAGCTCCAGTGAGGACATAGCTCAGGTGAGAGCACAACCCCCGTAAAAAAGCTCAGATGAGAACAGGGTTCACACGCAGATGAGAACAAAGCTCAGCTGAGAATGGGATGGACGGCAGCGGCGCGGAGCAGACCACCTTGTGGGGGCTCACGGACCGGAAGTTACGGACGTTCAGCGCCGTGCAATGTGCGGGACGCGCGGTCTGGCGCGGACCGCCTCAGCTCGACCGCCGACAGTGGCCACCACCACCGACCGCTGGAGCGCATGGGGAGCCAGACGCTGACCTCGCCCCGACTAGCTGCCCAATTACTGAGCCCGACAGGCCCGGCCGGCCGGCGCGCGGGCACCACATAAGGAGGCGGTGCCGGCACGTGGGCGGGTCGGCGTCCGAGCGAAGCACGGGGACGCGGCGTGGCCGGCAGAGGCCCGGCTGCCGCCCGCTGTCCGTCGCCATAGACGGATGGGGGTGGGGTGATACACAACGGCGCGCCCGAGCGCGGATTAAACCGTGCAACAGATGTCGCTTAGATGCTGACTGAAATGTATGTGCCCGTGAGCGCAGGAGGCGGTAAACGCCGTAACAGGTTGCGAAAGATATCAATTAAATACAACAAATGACGTCTCATCGGCTGCGGTAGTCGCGTGTGATGGAGTACCCCGGCCAGAGCCTGTAAAGGCGGTCGTAAACCGAGGCCATCTCGAGAGAGCGAACAGCCTTCACGCGCCTGCGTACAGCAAATCCACTTAACGAGTGCTTAATCCACGCAGGGCCAGCTCAAGATAAGCCCGTTACACCGCTGTCATCGCAGTGCCTCCGCGCTTAACAGGCCATCTCCGACCATCGCGCCGGCCTGTGCGCCGTCTGCTAACGCGTGACCGCGTCCCGCGCCGCACCACGCCGCGGAGGAAAGTGTGAAGCCTCACACCGGCTGGTCAGTCACGCGTGCATGTTACACCGCGCCGCCTGTGATACGGGCTGGCGGCCGCATGAAACGCCGTGGCGCCGGCGTCGGCGCGGCGCCTGCAGCCGTGCAGAGGCTCGGCCTCGGCCCGGCGCCGGTGCGGATCCCGCAGCAGCTGGACTCCCAGGCCAGACGGCAACGGACGCGGTCTCGGTGACAGGAGCACTGACAGAGACGACGGCAGGACGGGCGCTCAGCGAGACGGGGATGACGAGGGCAGCGGCAGGACGGGCGCTCAGTGAGACGGGGATGACGGGAGCAACGGCAGGACGGGCGCTCAGTGAGACGGGGATGACGGGAGCAACGGCAGGACGTGGGCTCAGCGAGACGGGGATGACAGGAGCAACGGCAGGACGGGCGCTCAGCGAGACGGGGATGACAGGAGCAACGGCAGGACGTGGGCTCAGCGTCGCGACCCTCCATACTTTTTCGGCTGCCCGTGTGAAGACGCCCGGTAGAGAAGCACGAAACAGTGACCAGGGTGCACCACCCTGCCAACTTTTGCGTTGTGCGACGAACTTGAATAGATAAGTCGTCCAGCTGACATATCGCACGGTTATGAATGCGTATTTGTTAACATCCTCCAAACGCATGCTAAAGACGTAACCTGAACTCAAAACACATTTACAAGACAAGTTCACCAGAGAATGCGGTATATGAATGAAGGCCATACCACTGGCGTGTTTTCATTCACATAAATTCGGCCCAATTTTCTAGTCTAAATAACACTCCAAACAGGCTGGCACTGGGCCGCGCAAGATGCCAACTCGTTGCTAGGCGGCGTGCAACTGGCGCTGTCGTGTCCACAAACAGCGCCGCTGACACCAAGTGACGGCGAAGCGGGCCGCCCGTCGCGCCCCCGCGTGTGGTCCGCCCTCGCGCCGCGGCAGCGGGGCGCGCGCCGGCCACCGAGCTTACACCTGAGAGAACAAACAGCTTGTTGTTTCTGGCCGGCCGCGTCCGCCGGCCAGGCTAATTGACAGCCCGGCTGGATGTATGGGAGAGACCGACAGCTCCCGAACGTATGGCCGCGACAAACAGGCCGACGCCGGCCCCGATATAACCGGATACAGCCGGCCAGATAAATACGCTGTCAGCCCATCCGACGCTCGGTGTGTGGCGGCGCCAGTTTGCCGGAGCCCTGCGGGATTGGGGGCTTCGGGCGAATCGACTGGGCCGTAATCCTCAGCGGTTCTGAATACGGCGGGAACGGGGCGTCAGACCCGACAAACGACGATGTAAAAGCGGCCGACCCCCCGTTAAAATGGGATAGAGAACCGAGACAAATCGGCTGTCCGCCCTGGGTAACAGGCCATCGGCAGCATGCCAGCCGACAAATCCCTCTGCTATCGACGCAGTGAGAAACGGCCGCCGAGCCTGGCGGGCAGCGCAGTCAAGCGGGGGCCGACCTCTGGCGGCCACCACGCCGTACTCGCAAGGGCTACAGCCGCGGCTGACTTTTCCGGCTCTGGCGCTGTGGACGGACCGTCAAGCCGCCATTTCCGACTTGGCGCCATGATTGTGTTGTGAGGTGAGCATCTGCGCTGTGGCGTGCCGCCCCCAGCGGTGAGCGTATCAGGATGGAATCAGTGCCGGCTCGCTGTTTGGGTGTTTGGCGCCGGCACCCGGCGTGATAGGCGAATGCCGGCATCTGTGGCGCGCTCTCATCTGCACCGAGAGCGCCGATGAATCAGCAGATAGCACCGCGTCGGCGCACGTTTCTCGGTCGGCGCGCACGGCGCGGTCCTGCTCCGCGGCCGCTATCATCCGGCGATATAGGTTAAGAGCGTCGCCGCCTTCCCATTAGCGCGGCTCGCCTTACACTTTGTTTATGACCATGTGTGGGATATGGCGCCGGAATGCCGCGTCGACGGCCGCGGCCGCCGAGCCGCGCCGACAGCTACGCGATTTGTGGCGGCGTGTTTGCGGGAGGAGTTCACGGCACGTTGCGCCGCGCGCCGCGGCCGACAGCGCTGCGACGAGGACAGGACGTGGGGCGTAACTCAGAGCGGTCGGCGACCGTCGCGCGCCGTCGCTCGACCCGACAAACCGGCCTGTCCGGGCGACGCCCGGGAGGCATCAGCAAGCAGGGCTGCAACCTGTCCGGGGAGGCCCCACCACGCCGGTGTTCAGGCGGATCAGGCCGCGTGGCCATATGTAGTCCACCTCCAGGGGGCTCTGCGGTGAGGGTATGCCGACACGCATACCAGATAGCGTGTCGGACCTGAGCCTTCTCTGGTCCGGCTCGTGGCAGCAGCATGGGTTCAGGGGTGTACTGGGGCTGAGGGGGCGGGCCGAGTGAAGCGTAGTGGTATACAGCATGCTGAGGTTGCAGGCGAGGCGAGCGACAAGAGTGAAGTAGATCAGAGCAAAGCTGTGGACAACCAAGTACGGCTGAGCTGATTGGAGTTCAGTAGAATTGAGTACGATGGAGCGAGGCTGAGTGGCGTAGTGGTCAATGGAATGGAGTGCACTCGTGTCTGAGGGTGCGACAATGATGAGATTGGCGGCATTTCTCCATGAATGACGCAATGACAGCGGGCCCGTACTGCCGACATGTAGCTTCATCTCATCTAAACCGTGACCGCATCATAGGGGACCCGTGACCGCATCGCAGCGGACCCGTGACCGCATCATAGCTGACCTGCGACCACATCACAGCTGACCTGTGACCGCATCATAGCTGACCTGCGACCACATCACAGCGGACCTGTGACTATCACAGCTGACCTGTGTCTATCATAGCTGACCTGCGGCCGCATCACAGCAGACCTGTGACTATCAAAGCCAACCCGTGACCGCATCACAGCTGACCTGTGACTATCATAGCTGACCCGTGACCGCATCACAGCGGACCCGTGACCGCATCACAGCTGCCTTGCGACCACATCACAGCTGACCAGTGACCATCGCAGCTGACCTGTGACCTTTCACAGCTGATCTGCAGCTACACCTCAGCTGGCCCGTGACTGCACACCAGCTGGTATGTGACATCTCAGTTGCTCCGTGCTGGTACCCGGCCCCCCTCACCTCCCTCGGCCCCGACTGACCTGTGGGTGGGAGGCTGGGGGCGGGCGCCGGCCGCGCGGCCGCCTGCTCGCATTCGTGCCGGCTGGTGAACGAGGTCGGGTCAGCTGAGACGTCCGGCAGCTGGCAGTCGGGCACGTCCGAGCACACGCACGTGCCCAGCATCAGCTGGCAGTACTGGCAGTCCGTCTCACGGCCTGGCGACAGAGGACACTTGTTGGACGCGGCCGGGACGCGGACACGGCAGCCCGCGCTCATCGGCAGCCTGCGCCTTCAGCCGGCTGATGCACAGCTTTTATGCTGCTTGTCAACAGCGTGGGAGAGTCGTTTAATGCACTCACGCGGATTTTACAACATACACATGCATCTTCTGCAACACAGTAAAGCTCGCGGTGAAACTGCCCGCGTGCTTAGCGAGCGTGGCTTTAGCGGCTCGGCGAGCCAGCTTGGCGCACGATCTCGGCTGGGCCTCTTCAGAGAAACGCGCTCAAGGCTCGCGCAGTCGGCGTCCGCTGTCCATGTCAGCGCGCGACACAGCTCTCGGACCGCTCGTAAACCAGGCAGTGAGCAGTCCGCCGGACTTGAAAGAGGCCGCCGCAGCCCGGCGCCGCCTGGCGGCTGACAGGCGGCGGCACCGGACGCCACGGGGGTGTGGAGGCGACCGGAGTGACCCGGACCGCCCGCCCGGACCGGCGCCGTCAGAGCATGACCTGCGTCAGTGCGTCTGACTCGGGCGCCATGCGAGATTTACCCGGCGCAGTGCGGGGAAGCCTGCCGTCTCACGGTCTGGGGGTATTGCCACACCCGAAGCACAACAAACGCCTTTGGCCATGATGTGAACATGCGAGATTATCCTGAAGTCTTGTCAGACCGCGCTTGCCGACGAATGAGACCGATATAGTTTTCAGGGGCCACTCCCCACAGGTATTGGGCTCGAACGTTTATTACGCTCGCGCTAGTCCATATAAGTCTCGTAGTTAGCCAGAAATGCCAAAGGAGAAGCGGCACGTACCAACGAGCGGGCAGCGCCACCCATGCGGTGGTCTCTGTCGGCGCCCAGTGCAGAGACCATCCCCCGAACAACACAAGTCCATCAGCTGCACCATGTAGGGCAGCCGCGGTGCTCATCCTGCACAAGCCTCAACTCTGTGCAACATAATTACCGCGCCCATCAGACCAAGAGAAAGTTTTGCAGCTCCTCGTCCATCACGCGGCGGCAGCGACGAAGATGTATGGTGTGGACGGGGCCTGCAACGGCCGCCGTCTGATCTGGGGGCCCGCTTCCTTCGCAGGGCCGCTCTCAGGACGTCAGTCAAACCTCCAGCCCGGCCGGCAGCGCCACAGCCGGTCACACAGCGGTGTCGACTGCATTTGGGAGGGAGGGTGGATTGCCGGGTTCTTGGGGAGAGCCCCACAATCACGGACACTGTGGACGCCCCTGCGGAGCTGGCAAGGCAGTAGGCTTGCCAGACTCGGCGCTGAGGCCGCTTGGAGTTTTGAGATATTTATTGACGTATCCCATCGCTGCAGCCACTGGTGTCCCGGGTGGCCACACAGAGCCCGTGAATCGATCAGGGTTTCAAACAGTTTTTGCCCATCGCGGAGGATCCGATGTCAGATTCCAGCTGTCACACAGCGGAATTTCAATTCTCCCGAGTTTGACACGCTGGTGACAGGCCAGAAGCCCTCGCCTGCGCCTCAGGTGTTGACTCCAGTCGCAGCCGGCTGTGGTGAGCTCTCGCCAGCCGTGACGACGGCGACACGGACGCTTGCCGTCGTGACGGCCCCAGAGCGGGCTCACGACACGACGCAGAACGACCTGGTCGGGCTCACCAGGAGCGCCTTGTCGGCTCACGAACAAACTACTAGCCTCTGCAAGGACCGACAAAACTGACAGGCACGCGAGCGGCATGCGTCACTCGCTCCGGCCGGCCCGCGCCTCAGGGCTGGTGTGGCACCGGCATGTGTGCTGTCTGTCTCTTCGCCGGCCCGTCGCTGTGACAGCCACCTGCCGGCCACAGGACCGGCAATCACCAGCCCACGTCCGCGGCGTTGGTGCGAGAAAGGGAGGATAATGGCGCTCGCACCTGCAGAGCGACCTCCATTCACCGAGCCTTCCACCCGCGCGTTCGGTACAGCGTCCTGTTCGATTGCTTGAATGACGGTTTAATAGTCCCGTCGACAACCAGGGACGGCCGACAACCATCGTCATCGACAAACCGACGACCATCGACAACCGACGGCCATCGACAACCGACGACCCATCGACAACCGACGACCATCGACAACCGACGACCATCGACGGCCGAAGACCATCGACAACCGACGACCATCGACAACCGACGACTATCGACGGCCGACGATCATCGACTGCCGACAACCATCGACACCCGACAAACCATCGACATACCAACGACCATCGACAACCGACGTACTATCGACGGCCGACAACCATCGACACCCGACAACCATCGACGGCCAACAACCATCGACAACCGACGACCATCGACGGCTGACAACCATCGACAACCAACGACCATCGACAACCGACGACCATCGACGGCCCGACAACCATCGACACCCGACAACCATCGACAGGCCAACAACCATCGACGGCGGCGCCCGCTGTGCGCCACCCCCGAGGACATGCAGCGCCACCGCCACAGGTCCGCCTGACCAGGCAGCCGCGGGAACGCGCCGTCCGCGCGACGCTGCAGAGCCCGTGGCGTGGCCGGGGTTTGTTGTGGCGGCTGCCGCGACAACGCGGGCGCCGGTCCAGCGCCGATTAGATAAGGGCCGCAGATACAGGGGCGGCGGACAGCTTCTGGCCGGTTCGCTAAACAGCAGGTGCGGCCGTGGCGTGGCTGGACCTTGGCCGGCCGGCCACAGACCGACACCATCACCGCCTCAACATGGCCATCCCGGCCAGTGTCGGACCGGTGCGGCCGTCTTCAGAGTGGCGCGGCTGCCGTCTGATGCTCGGCAGGATGACCCAGCCGCGGCAGCGAGGCACGCCTGGGCTGGGCCACCCGCGGCGGCGAGAGGTGCAGCGGGAGGTCGCGGAGGAGACGAGTGTCCCCCCGGGGAGCCGCAGGGCTGGAGGCTGTCGTGTCGCGGTCAGAGCCCGCGCACGACTCATGATCGGTCGGCCAGGTCGCGCATCTCGTCGGTGGCACTGGTGCTGAAGTGACTCGCCTATGACCGCCCTGGCTGCTCTCACTGGTGCGCACAACCGACGTCGCGGCTTGCTACGACGTTAGTTGTGTTGGCGTTGTCGGCGCGTCTGTCACCGCTGCGCCGCGCCTCTCGCCGAGACCGTGCGGAGCGACCGTGAGCGCGCCTGGAACCTCGATCGGCGCCGAGGTCACGGCGCGACCGTGCCGGTGCCTACATCAGTCTCGCCACCGGTTAGTCAGCTGGTGACATGCCAGTGACGAAACCTGTCAACACACGTGACCTCTGAATCGCCTGCGGGCATCCGGTTGCAGTTGCAGGCACGCGCTCCGGAATGCATCTGCACTGATTAGGAGAATTCGAAAACTCATATCAAGGTTGTTCGCGGCGAAGGTTGATAAAAGTCTAGGCAGTTGCCACCTTGGAACATCACAAATCCCGGCAACAGTTACGAGAGATCGACATACCTGTGGCTTACAGTCCCAACAAACGGACAAGCGTGTCGCCGGCGGTGGCGGCTCACGGGCTGGTGACATCCCCGCGTTCTGAGGCCGGCGGTGGCGGCTCACAGGCTGGTGACATCCCCGCGTTCTGAGGCCGGCGGTGGCGGCTCACAGGCCGGTGACATCCCCACGTTCTGAGGCCGGCGGTGGCGGCTCACGGGCTAGTGACATCCCCACGTTCTGAGGCCGGCGGTGGCGGCTCACAGGCTGGTGACATCCCCACGTTCTGAGGCCGGCGGTGGCGGCTCACGGGCTGGTGACATCCCCGCGTTCTGAGGCCGACGGTGGCGGCTCACAGGCCGGTGACATCCCCA